TTATAGTGTTAATGTACTTGGACCATTTATCAACCCACAATATTAATATAATTGTATTCATTTATGAGTTTAGTCCTTTTGAAACGATATAGGTTAGGTTTAGCAGCGATAAATCGCTAGCTGTGCAGCGCACACCGTAGTGCCGAGTACTGACATTATTTGCCATTTTGCCTAAAACAATACTTTTCAGTTGGATATTTTGTGCTTTTGTACAACCAATGTTCGGATATTTAAAGTTGATTCCGTGCCGTCTTGATAGTCTTGATAGTCCCATGCCATAGTATTGTAGAATCTGTAACTAGGCGCCAGCAGGTACGCAATGTTATCACAAGACGCAACACGCCATCATGTGAATACTCGAGTCTGCACTGCGGGTTTTCAATTTTAAATGTCATCGTCTCAAAAGGACAGCATTATATGCAGCAATATTTGCATGCCAAGCTTATGTGTGCATGTGTTATCGCAAAATTCTGTTGAATTAAATTGAAGATAGCTGTACAACTTTGAAGAAAAAATTATTATGTCAACCGTATTCAGCTTTAACAAACTCCAGTTGCTTTCAGTCTCTCCTCGCAGACTTTAACGTAGCATATTGACTCTAGTACAGATATTATTAGTCTGATTGATCGCAAGTTCACAGAGAATTACGAAGCAAAAAATGTCTAAAAAAGTATAATTATTAAATTTTCATTTGAAACGTTTCGGAGACCAGCTCCATCGTCAGTTCAAAAATTCAAAAACTTATACAGAATACAAAAGCCATCATCGTTGAAAATTTCAAGCGGCTAAGAACTGTACGCGTTATTAAGACAAGGTTTCCGTTTACAAGTATGCAGCGTTTAGAAATCCTTCCTATTTTCCAAGTGGCCGCAGTTTTCCTGCAGCTCAAGAATATAAAATCTTTGAGCACCTCCAGGTAGCATCGCGTACGGTTATAATTACACATAAACCGCTAATATGTTGTGGTATTTACATTATATCTAACTTAGTGAGTTAATAATAAGCGCATTAAGTAGGTTCAATATTTGCGTTCAATAGTGAATCGCTGGAACAAGGTGAGACCTGTATGGCTACGATCTAATGGACGATCTTTTGTTGGGCTATCAACATTTAATAAGGCTAAATATATCTAATAATATTTGATACCCCGAATCCATTTTCGTATCATCCCGCGACTAATGTCTTCGCGTATTACCTGCGTGCGTCCCTCACTTTGAGAACCACAGCTGGTCTCAAACGAACACGAACTGCAGGCCTCGAGTACGAAGTTGTTCAAGGCAATATTGGACATACAAACCATTGCAGGGCCAACGATGGGTTAATTCACCCATTTTCTTACTGGTTTATCAAACTTTACACCTTTCTACTATTTGCGTCGGTATAATTTATTTAGCCCTCCCTACGCCTGCTGCGGTGTGAACACTGCACCTGCTGCAGTGTGAACAACTGCACTTGCTGCGGTGTGAACACTGCACCTGCTGCGGTGTGAACACTGCACCTACTGCACCTGCTGCGGTGTGAACAACTGCACCTGCTGCGGTGTGAACACTGCACCTGCTGCGGTGCGATTACGTTACAACTGCTGACTGCTGACGTCACAACTCCGGAATGCAGACGTTACAGCGGCGGTATGCAGGCTTTCCAACCCTCGTGATGCAGGTGGTGTCCAAGCACCGCCGCAGACGGCGTGGCAGTATAGCTGTGCGGGAGCAGACGCCAGGTACGACGGGGTCTCGCCTGCTTAGCTCGCCTGTGGCAGCTCAGCTGTGCAGCGCTCACTGATGAATTGAAGGTTCGACAATTGGATCCGTTAGCGTTTTCTAGTTCATTCATTCATTCCGCTGTACCGCTGTTTCAGTTTTTCCATTTATTTTTTTCGTAATTTTTATTCGTATCCGAAGCGGATTTTTCGAATATGTTGCAGGAAGATAGTTATTATAAAGCGTTCACAATTGCTGAAAAATTCTCTGAATTTATGTCCTTTGGGTCACTAAAACTCGAGGTTCTTCGATGATCTTTTTGATAAGCACCTTTGACCTATCGCCTCATATCATGGTTTTATTGATGAATCAGTTGATAATGTTTGAAAAATTGAGATCGCTTATGAAAAGAAAAAGAAAGGTCGCCAAAGCCTGACGAATGTGTTGCGAGGAATTAAGAATTGGGCCAACTCGCATCACATTCCGAAAATTCCATTTAAGAATGCAAAATGAGTTCAGAAATAGATGCATTCACCGTGTTCAGAAATAGATGCATTCAGGCCGAAATGCTCTTGCTTTGGTGACTTGTTTGTTAGTGGAAATAAATCTGAAGAAGCTTTTAAATCTCATGCGCTTGCATTCAGTGTCTATCTCTGCTCACCTTTTTTCGCAGCTGAACTGCTCACAATGGAGATCCATTCAGCAAAAAATACACTGAAAAGAACAGCTGAAACGGGCCTCTGTTTCTTTTACTGCACCAGTGAAGAACGGGAGCGAATACAATAGTGACCGTAAACCCCGAAAGAATTTGTGTGCAATCAAATTAATTAACTTGTACCTTGTGGTTCAGCTTGGCTCCACTGCAGATGCCTGCTTGATTACATCTGTAAGCTTGATGCCAGCTGCAGGATATGTGAGGATCAGCAGGTTATAGGAGCTGCAGGATATGTGAGGAGCAGCAGGTTATAGGAGCTGCAGGATATGTGAGGAGCAGCAGGTTNGTGTTAAACCATCAGACAGTGAAGTTATTTCTGCTGTACGGCAATCTGACCAGGGAGTTCCCGGTGTTAAAACATCCGACAATAGAGTTATTTCTCTGTACAGCAATCAGACCGTAGAGTTCCCGGTGTTACACCTGCCGACAGTATAGTTATTTTCTCTGTACAGCAATCTAACCGTGGAGTTCTAGGTGTTGTCTATCCAACTGTCAAAAGATTCCGATTGGAAAAATTTCACTGTAAGGCGATCACAGCGTGAAACAATTCCATTAAAAAGAGATCCCAATGTAAAACAATCCGACTGTAAAAAATCCCAGTACAGCAATCCGATTGGAGAAATACCGATGTAACACAAATAAAATCCGATCGCAAAACTATCCCTTTGTAAAGTCGGTTCATTTAGAGTTAAAACAATCCGACGGCAAAGTGATTCCGGTATAGAACAGTCCGATATAGTAAAGAGATCTCGTTGCCAAACAACCAGACGATAGAGATTACGACTGGAAACATTCCAATTTAAAAAAAATGTCCCGCGTGTAAGCGCTGAGAAAATGTAACTGTAGTCGATTGTGAAAATATCCTGGTGTGAGAAGATCCAAAATAAAGCAAAGCGGTTTTGTTTAAAGTTAGAGTGGAAAAAGAGGCGATTGTGAATTGACGTAATACGATTCATTTGATAACAAATCAGAAATTAATGCATCAAATTGTAAATAGATCGGCACATGATATTTGTCAATTATGATGTGTTAAGAATGTAGACAGATCAAGGTTACGAAGAAATAGGCGCACCTAAATCCACTTGTAATTGGTTTCGAGTGGAAGCAAATCTGAGTGTCGTAATATTCAGGTGTATGACGACCCAAGTGCAGTAAACATATCTAAGAGTATAAGCAAATCCAAGTGGAATAAATTTCTTGTTAATACAGATACGAGTGTAAACGGATATCGATGCAAGTCACGTTTTGCCTTTATCCAAAGAATGAGTTGTCCTTTGAGTGATCGATCGTAGGGAAATGATGGCGTGTAGCGCCACGCGGGGTCACCTCCGCTGAGCACAGTGGTCGAGGCCCTGAACTATTCCGCTCTAAAATGTAAAAGTAATAATTTCTTGGGATGAATTTTATTCTTGACTGTTTATTCAGAAACATTTTAGTTGTAAATCATCTATATATATAACCTTACCATCTATATATCCAGACTTGGTTGCAGTTCTGTACGAGGGATTAAATCCACCAGCATCGTTGCGAACAGTGATGTAGGAGCCCGGTAAGTCCATGACAATATTTTTCTATAGGGTCTCCAGTAAAACTCAATAGTAAACCTCAGATGAACTATGGTCGGTCAGCTGTAGGCCCCAAAATGCTCCCTCCCAGATTTCGAACCAGAAAATATTACCGTCCGTTAGTTTGGTTAGATCGTTCCAAGGGAATTTTTGCTAGTGTAGCGCTGCAAGCTTTTAAATAAAGGTTCAGTAATTTTGAGTAAAATTCTTAAATATCTGAAAAAAAATGCATGACCTCTATGTTGGTTACCCACACGTGCGGAGTGGAGCAGCTTGTGGAGCACAGCTGTGCGCAGCTAAAAGCCACAAGTGCAATCGTCCTGCGGCGCGCGTGATTTGTATACCAGAAGGTGCAACGATACGTGTCCAGGCTTTGATATTGCACTAGACTAGCAACGGAAGACGCGAGTTGAATTCATAAACAAGCAGCTTTTTTTTCCAGAGAAGCATCGCTGTAAATTACTTGTTCCCAAGTAAACGGCTTAGCAAATACAAGGTTATGCATTACATTAATGACACTATACATAACATGTTGCCTAGTGGTTAACAAGTACAAAAGAAATACTACTTCGACTCCCATAAATTCTGAAATTAACTCTTATTGTTCGAACATTTTTGTAATGCATCGCGTATCTCACGCTAGCCTTGAATCTTTAGAGGATTCTTAACAGATTTTACCTTAGATTTATGTGAATAAATTAATTCCTGCCAAATTTTTCCTCTGTAATTCTGGATAACTGTTAAGTTCTATCATCAGCGGATATCTCGCTGGCTGACAGATGTAGACCCTGTAGGCGACGGGTATAAGTTAGGATCAGATAGTTACGCTTGTGTGGAGCTTAAACATGTTTGCTCTGTCATGCTGCTCTTGTCAAGCGGTATTGTTGTTACTTGTAAATCAGTCTGCATCTGAATAAATGCTTTTTCACTGTTCCCTGCGCTATGTACGTTTTACTAAACCAAACCAGAACGAATGACCCGACAAAACTGTTGTTAACTTCTGTTATCTTTTCATTACAGGTAACAATTGTGATTATATGATGTAATCTGTGAACTCATTTGTTCTAAGACGTAAACCTCCATACATTTTTCAAGATAATAGTTAAGCAGAACCGAAATGGAAGCTTGAGCATTAAGAAAATTCATAGCGAGAAATGGCAGGTCTCACTAAAGACTCGTTTCGACGCAGTGCCAACAGCGGCCGCGACAAATTCACAGACTACCTTCTGCGCGTCGTGCTGCAACGGCGACCTCAAGCTGCCCTCGGAAACGAACACTTTTCTAAGCTTTAAGTGCTTGATCTTCTCAAGAGTCCTAATACCCTGAATAACTCCTCAACTACCAAAATCCCCATCTTAACTCCTCTCGGCATTAGGCAGCAGATTGGGGTAAACGAGAGCATAAACGTTTGGGCTCAGGGATTATAGACGTCAAGACTCAAGAAGTATAGACGTCAAAGCTCGTATTTATCCTTTATTAGAACCTATTGCCAATCCTCAGCAATGGACTTCCTACACCGAAACATGCTGCTGACAACTCTACTTCTTCTCACGGCGTTCATGCGGTTCACTCCTTCAGGTAAGGATATTACTAAGTAAAGTTATCTAATTATATTTTGAAACTAAAACACGTCTTAGATGTCAAAAAGAATCTGTTACAGATAATATTTAGCTTCTGTGTCAGTCAAGAGCTTAACTCAACGTTGAATCTGTAATCTGAAGGAGCTCCAAGCCAGTAGTTAAGATAATTCTATTTTATCTTAGGTGCCACAGAAAAGTTCAGCCTACGTTACCCTTATACCAGCATTAAGTCGTTCCTAATTTTTAATACTTAGAGCTGCAGTAAAATGTAATGAAATTTTGCTTATTTTAAAAATAATAAGTTATTTTAGCACACTCGCCGATTTGTGACGGCATCAATGGCTAAAAGACGACAGTAAATAAAGTTCGCTATGCCGTTGTGATGTGTGAATGAGCGTGACGCTGCTCTCCACATTATCGCATCGTGAAGCTCACTATATGATTGTTTCGCTTAATGAGACTGGCCGGCACTGATTAGCTTAGTGAGACGAGACTGGCAGAGACTGCTTAGCTTAAAAAGATTGGCAGGGACTGCTTAGCTTAAAGAGATTGGCCGGCACTGCTTAGCTTAAATGAGACTGCCAGCACTGCTTAGCTTAATGAGACTGGCCGGCACTGATTAGCTTAATGATACGAGACTGGCAGAGACTGCTTAGCTTAAAAAGATTGGCAGGGACTGCTTAGCTTAAAGAGATTGGCCGGCACTGCTTAGCTTAATGAGACTGGCCAGCACTGCTTAGCTTAATGAGACTGGCCGGCACTGCTTAGCTTAATGAGACTGGCCGGCACTGCTTAGCTTAATGAGACAGTCCTGCACTGCTTAGCTTAATGAGACTGTCCGGTACTGCTTAGCTTAATGAGACTGGCCGGCACTGCTTAGCTTAATGAGACTGGCCGGCACTGCTTAGCTTAAGGAGACAATCCGGAACTGCTTAGTTTAATGAGACTGGCAGGCACTGCTTCGCTTCATGAGACTGACCAGCGCTGCTTAGCTTAATGAGACTGGTCGGCACTACTTAGCTTAGTGAGACTGGCCAGCACTGCTTAGCTTAATGAGACATGAGACTGTCCGGCACTGCTTAGCTTAATAAGACATTCCGGCACTGCTTAGCTTAATGAGACTGGCCAGCACTGCTTAGCTTAATGAGACTGGCCGGCACTGCTTTGCTTAATAAGACATTCCGGCACTGCTTAGCTTAGTGAGACTGGCCAGCACTACTTAGCTTAGTGAGACTGGCCAGCACGGCTTAGCTTAATGAGACTGTCCGGCACTGCTTAGCTTAATAAGACATTCCGGCACTGCTTAGCTTAATGAGACTGGCCAGCCCTACTTAGCTTAATGAGACAGTCCGGCACTATAGCTCCCTCCATAGGCCGGGGATGCGAGTTCCTCGATCACTCACCAAGCGTCGGCTGCGTTCTCGGGTTTGGCGTGTCGGGTAATCTAATTAACTCAGGACCAAAGGCAGGTTTTCTGAGCCGTGCAACTGATAAGAAACACTCATCATCATTACGGGCTTTGATTAAGACTTCTCTTGAATAAACACGACAATAATTTCCTTTCATCGTAATAGAGATTTAAATTCTCCAATAAAAGTCAGTCTATTGGTTTGATTGATGGGTTTTAGTATAAAAATATAAAATTATGCAGCAATTATTCAGCAGAGATATTTGCTTTTCTTCTCAATGATTATTTCCTTTGAGAGACGTAAAGTTTTTAATTTAAATCTCTTGGATATTCGCCGAACAACGCCATCATCCAGCCATGCCATGAGAAATTCCTTGATTGTGGAGCTCGTTAGAGCTGCTACGGAAGACTGTTTGAAATGACAGTCGGTTTAACGACGGCCAACCGTGGGCTCATAATTGGTCACCTTTAATCGTTATGATCACCTTTAATCGTTCTAATAGGGAATTGCTTCGTGTTATCGCTGCTATGGACACGCTGCAGCTGCGTTTTACTACACGCAGCTGCTACAGTAGTAGGCTATCGTGCGCCTTGTGACTTACGGTAGCCTCAAGATAAAGCCGGGATTCTATTGTTGTAGTAAACATTTATTGGAATGCTTATATGCATTTTCTTATACGGGTATATAAGTGTCTAACGCGAGACATGGTGCTTGAATGCGTATATGACTTACTCATGAGACACCTTCTCTCCTGCGTATGTAGTCTATTCAGGTCAAGTCCATCTCTACTAAAATTCATACAATATGAGAATAATGATAGCTTCTATCTAACAATACGAGTTCTCCGATGTAGAAGCTTTCTCGTATCCTATATACCGAGAAGCGCGTCTTTTAACTTGAGGACAACGTTGCGTACCACGTTAGGAGTTTTGAATTTAAAATTGATGCTTTTTAAGAAGTTTTGTTTTCATTTAAAGTCAACCTTGTTATCAACATAGGAGTTTTTCTTCTTAAAATTAACAATTTATTCGCCTGCTTATGGCGTTTTTCTATTTACAATCATCCTGGTGGCAAAATGAGTTATCAGTTTAACGAATATTAAAATATTTTAAACTATTTTTTCTCTAATGTTACTTAAAATAGAAGTAGCTCATATCAGCGGCTCATCCATGCAAAGGCTTCTGTATCCAAACATAAAGCATAAAGTTGAAACGCAAGCTAACACATCTAACAAACTTCTTGGACTCGTCAGACGCTCCTACGAGTTCCTGATGCAGAAGCGATGAAGCAGTTGTTTGTTGCTGTCGTGCGCTACGGAAACGTTGCGTTTTCACCGAGAGTTTGAGTTTGGAAACGTTGTGTTCTCACCGAGATTTGAAAAGGACAAAAATTCAATCGAGAATGTTCAAAGACGTGCAACAAGGATAATTCCAGGCTTGAAGGGCAAGTCCTATGAAGAAAAATTATGAAGCTTCCAAGCCTCAGTTATCGACGTCTGCGTGGGACCTCATTGAGGTATGCAAGTATACTCATAGTTTATACAAGGTCCCTGAAGGGTTACTAGAATTTGAAACAAGAACCAACACCAGGGGCCATGGCTATAAGCTAAAAAAACTGCGCTGCAACTTCTCCACGCGACAAAATTTCTTCTTTCTCGCTTCGAATCACCGACATGTGGAACAGCCTCCCCGATGACATCGTTGGCGCTCCAAGTATGAACGCGTTCAAGAACTGACTAGATTAAGCTATGGAAAAATATATGTTCGGATTTGAAATGCCTAGCACCAAATCGAACCCGGTTTAAGTCTATATAGTGGCTATTTCAAACTATCGTCAGTCATGAAAAGATCCGGTCAAATGACACGAGTTTAGATCTTCTGTGAACAAGGCACGAAAAGGAAAAGAATCGGCGACAGGCCACATCAGGCCTACACTTCAGCGCCGAGATCACTATGTTTATGTTATGTTATGTTATAAACTATATAGCTCGCCTACATTTAATTTAACGCCTATCGGATGCAGCGCAAGCAATAGTTATTATTTCTAATGCAATGTTTTGTTAAACTTTTAATGGAACATTACTTATAAAACTTTATTCTTTATCTTTACACTACCGATCCTGGTATTTTATCTATGGATCAAATCATAATTAAACGAAAAGTGAGCGATGAGTAAATCTAGTGAAGAGATTTAGAGGATTTGAATGCATGACACGTGACTTGCGAGACTAGTATTTACTTTTTCTAGCGTCTGTTGCCTATCATTGATTCTGATGTAGGGCATATTGAGTAAAAGATGTTCGTATTAATACTCTATCCTTCTTTAACTATATTTCACGTGTGTTACTTTCAGTTTTTACCCAAGTACAGTTGAATGTATAACGATTAATATGGCCTGTGATAAATGGTCGAAATATAGTCTACGTAGCCTATTTGGTAGATCATTTTACTATATTATAGTCTACGCATCCTATTTGGTACGAACCTCGTGCCTTACAAATAGAATAATTGTAAAAGGGTTCCCTAACATCTCGTAATACGATATATTTAATGATTCTATCAATTAATCATTAGTATATTTCATCATTCCATTCTTTACCAATTTTTCCTAACCTAACCTAATCTAACCAGACTAACCTACATGAACTTAAGTTTGCAATGCACACTATGCAATGATGAAATTTTATGGTGAATTGTTGTCATTATGAATCGTCCCAATGTTGAATTGCTACAGTGATGAAATGTCTAGTTTGACGAGGTGTCTGGCCACCATGTAAAGACAAGGTGTCTTGTATCCCAAATGGATTTGGCACCTACGCTAACTAGAACCCAGTAATTGGTACCCATCTGTCCATTATGCTTAATGATCGTACTCAGTGGTACCGTTTAGTCCAATGCTTAATTTAATATAACATTTCGCTTATCGAGCTACATCGTGGATGACTAGAGTTATCCCGGACGATGTGGCACAAAAGTAACTGAGTTACTCATCGTCCGCACAGTTATAAGTGATAAGATTCCTGACGTCAGAGAGCATGTCGCCCACAAGAGGGTTCTCACTGCAATGCATTTAAGGTGTCGCCAGAGATGGCTTATCGGGAGCCAGTGTGTCCTGTAGCCCTCATGTAGATGCCAGAGGCTCAGACGGGCCCATCTGTTGTGTCACTTGCTTCTTATCTTCAACAAAATAGTGTATTATCAGTGAGAATTCTGCCATGTTTGCGGAGCCATGAATCCGCTGATATTGCATTGGCGAAAGATGTTGCTGAAGGATGTTTTAATTAAGACACTATGAACAGGGAATGGGTGTGAATGGACACACATACTAGGGAAGGGATATGAGACCAGCAATGATGAGTGCTTTATGAAATGGGGTGTGAAGAAAACTGTCCAACACCTGAAAGTGGAATACGAAACGTACGAGGAAGAAAGACGGATTATGACGGAGGTGATTATGAATGAAAGGGGCGAGAATAATGGGTGAGGTTTGACAGAACAGGTGCAGAGTGGATTGCAATGAATATTGAATTGTCAGAGAGTGAAACTGTGGCCGTGATTGAGAGTGTAAACAGATATTTGGATAGCGCGTT